GGTGCCCCCGCCCGGCCCCCCCCCCGCCGGCCGGGGGCGCGCTCGGGTGGGGAGGGGCCGGCCCCGGCGCGCGGCGGGCGGAGTTCACGCGGGGACAGGGCTGCCTCCAGCCACTCGGCACATTCTTCGCTCTTCTCTTCCTGTAATTTTTCCAGCGCTCTAAGGTTTAATTTGTCGAAACCAGAGCCAGCGGCGGCCGACGCGGGGGGCGGTCCCGGGTCCTCTCTCGCGGCTCTTTGTGGGAGCCCCGCCCATCTGGCTGGCGGGGGCGCGCCGGACCCGAGGGGCTCCTGGGGCCCGCTGCGCTTTCTCCCGAAAGGAGCGCCCTGCCTCCTGCCCGTGGGTCTACGCCGCCCTCCTCCCCGCCGTGCTCTCACCTGCCGGGGCCGGATGCGGGCAGGCAGCACCTGCGCGGGGGCAGGCGGCCGGAGCCGGCAGCCTGGGATCCACGGATCGCCGCCCGCCCCCGGCCCCAGGGCAGCATTTCCCTTCGCGCGAGTCCGGGACTTTGTCGTTGATTCCTCTGTGGTTGTTTTTTGTTTTTTAAACACAAAAGTGGAAACAACCTTTTAATGGGTAAACAACCTTTCTTTTCCTGTTTGGTTTAAAGAATCGTGTATTTCATCTGAGCTCACGCGAACTCTTCTGGACACTTAGGTCTTCCACCTTTGGGACAGTTTTTAAGCTTTACTATTAACTTCGTGATCAAAGGTTTCATCTTCTCATTTGTAAAACAACTCACAAACTGATTACATGACTGATTTAAAAACCGCAGTGGTCTTCAAGAACCTAGAGCTGAAAGGCTATTTCTCCCGGTACATTTGGAACTGAGTCGTCCCAAGGTCTGCGGGTGTCAGGTACCGTGGATCTCACGTCCTCTTCCCCCCGAGGCTGTCCCCGCATTTCTGGTCCCACGCTGTGGCCGCTCAAACCACGTGGCCCGTGGTGGGGTCGCGGGTGAAGGCGGGCCGTTTCTAGGCTGTCTGAGTCAGAGTTCGGGCTGTGTGGACTCATGAGCGGGGTGGGGACGTTACTGCAAGAGTGGGTGTGGTCGTGGGGGAGGGGCGAAGCTAGGTTTGGAGCCAGGTGGACCCCAAGTACCCGGGCAGGGCCTGCGTTTGGGGTGCGGCTGGGGTTGAGTACCTCGTTGAGGCGAGGCCAGTACTGGGTAGGGAACTTGATTGGAAAACCTTTCTGCAGCCTCTTACTGTGGCCTTCCACCCGGCAGCACCCGGTAGCCAGCTTCGCGAATTGCGGAGGGACTGGCCCGGGGCGGGGCTCGCCCGGGGATGCCTTCCGGGTTGTCTCAGCCCCCCTGGTCCAGGGTCCACGTGCCCTAAGCAGCACAGGGCAGGATGGCTAGATGCTTGGGTCAGGAGCGCTGGGAACCCGCGCCTTCGCAGTGGGGTGGAAGCCAGCCTCTCTGGGGTGCCTGGAAGCCCAAGGCAGCCAGAAGGGGATGGATCCATACTTTGCCTGCAAAGTGCTATGTCTGTTCTTAGAGCAGGAAGCCGGCCCCAACCTCCAGGTGTGCAGAAACTCTGGAGCTCTACCTCCAGAGCACTTGTAGACCTCCAAGTCAGGAGTGCACAGGGTTCCCTTGGGGCCCTCGGAAATGCAGATTTCCAAGTCCCAGATGTTGACTGCAGTTTAGGGGGTCCCCCAGGTAGAATCTGCTTGTGAACCAAGAATCTACCTCTGGTCCAGGGCACCTCCAGGAAGCCCATTTCCAGGCTAAGCCCAGGTGTTCAGAGCATAAGTCACTGGTGTTCATAGAGGGGACAGAGGTAGCCCACAGAAGGGAGAGGAAAGGCAAGTTGGCTGAAGGGGGTGACCGAGAGGTGACCCTGGGAAGACCCGAGCAACAGACCCTGGTTTGTGGGCTCCCAGAGTGTTCTGTGGTGGGAGGGGTGGTCTCTGCAGGCAGTGGCTCAGGTCATGCCAGGCCTTTCATTAGGGACCCCCCTACCCCCATAGCGATTGTATGGTGGGGAGTGAATACCAAAATGACCTTTAGCCAAGGAGGCAGTTGGCACCTTGTTCTGCCTAGCTTTGTGACCAGGGACTGGTCCCCAGGTCTCCCTGCAGCTTGGTGATGTCTCCCTTGACCACCTGGAAGGTTTGCGGGAAACAAGGATGTGTGTACATGAAATTACTTTGAGAGTTCCTAGGGTCATCTTTTTTTTTTTTTTGACGTGGACGATTTTTAAAGTCTTTATTGAATCTGTTACAGTATTGCTTCTGTTCTCTGTTTTGTTTTTTTGGCTGCGGAGCATGTGGGATCTTAGCTCCCCAACCAGGAATTGAACCCTCACCCCCTGCATTGGAAGGTGAAGTCTTAATCTCTGGGCTGCTAGGGAAGTCCCCTAGGGGCATCTTTGACTCTGGGGGAACCTGGGCTTCCTGGCTCTGCTCTGATCTCCCACCCCAACCCCTAACCGACTGCATGCAAAGAGCTGCTGCTTGTCCTGGTTAGCTCTGTGGCTGTGTGGTCCCCCAATGGTCATCCTAGGAACTCATGACCCTCTGTCACATTTAGGTAACCGTTGATGTTATAGCAAGCTCATGATAAAACAAAACAGAGACACACGTCTTTGCAACTTGAGCCCCTTGTTATTTGCTTGATCGTAGCTTCCCAGCCCAGATCTGGGAGGTTTGCTAAGACTTGCTTTGGGGACTGCCTAGACCAGGAACAGATTTTCTTGGAGGCTGAAGGGCTTTGATTTGAAAATTCAAGGACTTAGAGAAGGGAAGCTCTGGACCCCTCTGAGGGCAGACTCCCCGCCCGCCCCCCCCCACAGCTGTCCAGGTCGCACCTATTGGAGGAGGTTCCTGCCTGTTGTCCAGGATGGGGCGGGGGGGGG